CATTGTTCCTCAATTCTTAAACCTTGACTCATTAGCAGTTCACCCCCACTGCTTCTTGTAGCCCACCAGCACACATACCTGTGCACCTAATAAAAGCTAAAGACACTATGCCTCGTGATCCTAGCTTGTCATTGGGCTTGGTCATCCTGTGCCCCTTGTAACTAAAATATATGTTCTGTCTGTGCTTTATTCTGTCATTGTACCTCTGAGCAAATCAGTGGTCCTAGGCCTGGGCCCTAAAACCTGAGATTTCATCTTAATCCAAAAAGAATGCCTGTCATCCACAAAACAGTAACAAATGCTGATGAGGCTGTGGGGAAAAAGGAACCCTTCTACATTGTTGGAGCAAATATAAACTAGTACAATCATTATGGGAATCATTTAGACTACGCAAAAGACTTAAACTAGAAATTTGAGTCAGCTATCCACCTTCTAGGTTATCTTCCTGAAAGAGTTGAAGACATTATATTACAATGATACAGGAGCTGGGAATTTAGCTCAGTGGCATAAAAACCTGCCTTGCAAGGGCGTGATCGTAAGTTCGATCCCCAGTACCAATTTAAAAAAATACCACAAAAATACATACATACCCATGTTTATAAGAAGGAAAATTCATAATGGCAAAATCTTGAAAATGGCCTAGCATGGTGTTCAGCAACAGATAAAGTATGGTATTTATACACAATGGAGTACAACTGTGCCATGAAGGTTGAGTCATCTGTAGGAAAATAGATGCACCTTGAGACCATAATATTAAGTGAAATAAATCAGACACATTAGCTTAAATAGTGCATGCTTTTTCTTACATGAGAAACCCAAATTATAAGCAAAAAAACAAAAGAAAGAATAGATCATAAGAAACAGGAAGATAAATCCTCTGCAAAGAGTGACGGAAGGGATAAAAGAGCATTTAGATATGTTACATACATGTATATACTAACTCTCCACAAGAAATGTAACTGACCCTTGTGATCTTTTTTCTTGTCATCAATCAGCTGTACTTTCTCCCCCCACCCCCGCATGCAAATGTTTAGAAATCAGTCTTTGTGTGAGATGGACCACCTGATGAAACAGCCAGTTTTGCCAACTTGACTCTTCTGAACCTCACTCCTAACTAAACCTGCTGTAATGTAGCAACTGCCTATTCCTGGCTAATGCCAACATTCTGTGTGGTGCTGCCTGCAGAGCACACCTGTGCTTTGTTTGTCAGCTGGTCACTGGAAAATTTCCACGGGGCCACAGACAAAGACTGAGACTAAAGCAGCAGCACTGCCACCAAGAACATCACAACTCATTTACTTAGGTGCCCCAATCTTTCAGCAGTTTGGCTGTCTCCAGTTTTGATGTAATAGTGCTGTTTACATCCTAGTTGTATGAATTTTGGGATAGGCTGTTTCCTCTCATAGTAGGCCTTGCTTGTAATTCCTTGAGTTATATAACAGGATCACCTCTTGGTATGAGCCCAGAAACAATGGAGGTAATAATGGAATTTGAGAATCGTATTTTTGTGAGGGAAATGTACCAGATGCAGCACTTGTAGTCTGGCTTTCATGTTTTCTCATTACCAATTAATAAAGATCATCAGCTTGGTTTCATCTAGCAGAGCTAGCAGACCGCTTAGACCTACCATTTTGCCCTACCTTAAAGCAATCATGGAAACTGGTCCTAGTGAACAGTAAACAGTAAACAGCTAGGTCCTTATTAAGCTGTGCTAGATGTTTATAGATAAATTCCATGGAAAATTGGGCCTGCCACTTTAGCAAAATTCAGGGGGGAGGTGTCAAATAGTCTGTGGAATATCACAACCCTTCTAAAGTGAAAAGTCCTGTACTCCCTACAACCAAGGGCCACAAGACTCAGCTTATTTGGGTTTTGGATACAACATATATGTTGATGTGCTACTCTAGGCTGTTAATTTTAAGTGGGAACAAGACCTGTAGCTTTGGTGCAAGCTGTCTTGCTTCTCAAACCAGTGGCCTGTAAGTCTCAAGTGTTTGAACTGCCTTTGTAATTTGAGTAAATAGATGGTGTCCCCCTCATAAGTCCCATAAGGTAGACCCCTAGAGCTCTAAAGCAAAATCTTGCCATCGTCTTCTAACCTATTTGAAAAGCAACCTCTAACTTGCTCCGAGGTCCTGGAACAGAATCCACACCCATGAGTAGTAATTAATAGGCAGCTTAGTGTCCATTATGCCCTGGATACTCCATGATCAGCAAGACATCAAGGATGCAGACATAATAAGCCCTCATTACATGGAGTGCTGCATATGTGCAGCATGATATTCTTTGCCTCTGGGTCCTCTCACATGTTATCATTTTATGACATTAGTTCAGTCATGTGGCCATTCTTCACTGTGTAACAGAACCTTGATAAGAACTTTTTATTGTTGTTTTGTCTTTTTGAGACAGAAGCTTGCTATGCATTTCAGCCTAGCCTTTAGCTCACTTTGTATCCTAGGCTGGTCTCAAACTCACAACGAACCTCTTGCCTCAGCTTCCTGAGTGCTGGAATTACATTGATAACTCTCAAGCAGCAAAGTTCAAGGAGCTTTCAGGATGGTGAGTGATGTGTAGAAACCCATGCCTGTCCTGCATGTCTTCCATTTAGCTGTTCTTGAATTGTATCCTTTGAAGTAAAACAGTAATTCCAAATAGAGCACTTTCCTGAGACACTCCAGCAAATTACCAAACTTGAAGTGGACGCTGTAAGAACCTCCAAGTTTGTAGCTGGCCAGAACTGTGGGTAATCCAGTGTGACCATTAATTCTCTGTCAGTATGATCAGATTAAGCAAAGCACAGATTAGTAAAGCGTACTTTCACATGTCTGAATTATTCATGGAGGCATGAACTTGGGCACTATATATGGTCCCTTTCACCTCCCTCTCTGGCACGGTTACCCTACTCTGCTTCCAGGTGCCATGTACTAAGCATCTTTGCTCGGCCATGCCCTTTAACTGTTTCTGCCTTAAAGCTAGCCAGCCATGGACTCAGTCCCCTGAAACTGTGAGCCAAATTAAATCTGTCTTTTTAAGTTGTGGTTGTTAAGTTACTAGGTTTTAGTGACCCAGAAGCTGATGAATACAGCTGGGGATCCCACCGTGCTGCCCTCTGAAGCAGTGGTCCTGTGGGATTCAGTCTCCATCCTTTTGGTCTGTATTAACTCTGGGTAGCGTAAGAATTGAACTATGGAACACACAGCTGGTGGCTGTTGAGTAGCAATGTAAAAGGAAATTAGCAAGAGATAAGACTCATCCAGGCTGGGTGGGAAGGAGGCCCCATAGACACAGTTCAGGGACCAGTGAAGTTCCTCCAGCTGTGCTGTCCCTATGTATCTGTCTACTCCTGAATATAAATGTTTTCCTATTCCCAATTCATTTGTAGGCTTTTCCAATTCCTTGGTCACCATCATTGCTTCTAACCAGAAAACTTTTCTAATGGCAAGCGTAGCCCTAGACATCTGACCATGGAATGCCTGGTCTTGCATAAACTCCTTTGCCCAGAAATGTCAAATGGGTGGTGACAGGGCAGTGGACTGCTTGGCAGCAGGAGGTACAGTGTGCTTTGAGTGAGCACTTCTCCTACAACCAGCATACATCAGCTGGGAACCCAGGAGCCCTGAGGCCACAAGTGGGTTCCCTAGAGGAACTGCAGCTTCCCACCATAACATGTGTGCTATGCTATCTGAAGGGGAGGGCTACTGCCACCAGAGAGGATCATGTACCAGCTGAACTAGCAGCTGAGACCACGGTCTGAACCATTGAGCAGGCCTGGGGTCTAGCACTGGCTCATGCTGTTGATTCCAGGGGAAAATGGGGACTAATGCACAAAGAGAAGGAGATCTAATCCAGTGCCTGCTGGGCACTACTTGATGCTTAGTACATTTAATTGTCAAACAAGACAAAGGAAGGCCTCTGAAGGCCAGGCAGTGCAGTCCTCTTTCAAGAGGGAAGGTACAGGTCACTTTTAACCAGGCAAGGTGCAAGCTGAGTACTAGAAAACCAAGAAAGGGTAAAGGAAAGAAGGTGATGAATATCAGCCTGTACCTTGTTACAGAAACAAGGACTGGATCAACTTTTGTGTGCACTGAGCACGTTCCTTCACCTCCTTCCCTTTTCTAGAGCGGGCTGGTGGCTCATTAACTTTACATCTAGTTCAGTCACCAACCAATTCATAACTCATCTGACCCAGTCCTTGTCTACTGCAGTAGACATCTTGTAGCCTTGGAGAAGACAGAGGGCATCTTCTTTCTCCTACTGGCAAGGTCCCTGCTGATGAAACAAAGGTAGAAGGTTGAGAACAAATGCAGAAGAGCTGGTCGCCTGCTGAGTGCCTTCAGTCATATCTGGCAACTCAGAGGCAGGAGGGCAGACAGGGATTTTTCTATCTTTCTTGGGGGATAGGTGAGCATCACTGGCAGCTGGTGTGTCCCCTCTGGGCCCACTTACCAGAGGGACTCTCGGTACTGGCCCCCGAGTTAAGAGAACAATTTCACAGTTCCAGCACCAAGAGGACAACTTCCGCAGTGGCTCCTCTGTGGGGCATTCCACCACCTTCAACATCAGAGGAGTCCAGTCCTTCCATTCGATTCCCTTTGTTTGAAAACCCAGAGTGCTTTCTGTTTTTCAGCCTGCACTTGGATTGATAAAATACCAAACTGCAGTTGGTCATGATGGGATTTTTTCCCCTCCATCTTTCATTATGAAAACTTTCAAACAATAACCATCTACTCACTAACTAGGTTTTCTTGTGTTAAAAAATTTTACTAAATCACACATGTAAATCTGTACATGTGTGACCATATACCACTAAGTGACATACATGTACCTGCACAGCACATCTCTGGGTAAAGGATCCTGAAATGGATGTCAGCATATGGTATGAATACTAGTGAGACACACAGCCACCGTCATGAGGGCTGCAATGTGCTGAAATGAAATGGAACCACGTATAGTGACACAGTGTGTAACGATGTGACAATGACCTGAGGACTATTGGAAACTGCTGGCTTAAAGGAGGTATGACATAAATTCTGTTTTATTTTACTTTTTTTTAACCTATGAGATGAATAAACTGGATGAGCTAAAACCAACACAAGGGTATTCACAACGGAACAGTACTTATATTTTATTCCTTCCTTCCTGCATGTGCGTTTTAAAACTTCATTTTTCTGATACTGAAACAGACAACTGAAAGCCATTCCATCTTGCTCCCTGGAGGAGGCAGAGGCTCCATGGTCCGGCACAGAACAGTCAAGCAGGAGTCAGGTATTGAAGTCTCAGACAACTGCTCTGGTTTAGCTTTGCACACTTTGTAGAGGCAAGAACACTTGGTGGCACTTGGGAGAGGCATCATGGGCACGTGAAGAACACCCTATGCCACACCCTGCACTTTCCTTGGAAAAACCAGCTTTTCCTCAAACAGAATTGTCACAGCTTAAGCGCCACAGGACTTTATTCATTGTTTAATCTTCTGTCGACAGGATTTCTTGGAATTAGAATCTAAATGTAATAAAAATAAGATAGCAATTTGTTATATGACTTCACACATCTTTGAAGAATAATTTAACTTTCAAATACTATCACTGAATTCATCTAAATTCTGATAAAAAATGAGTTATAACAGGACAGAAAGGCTCAGCTAGTGATGAAGCCAAACTGATTCAGCCCTCCCTCCTGCTGAGCCATTTATACCTTCACTTCCACTCTTTATTGCAATCCTATTAATGACGGGGGTATTAAGGTGGAAACTAACAATGACTGAAGTGCAGACCAGTAGTCTTTTCTACATTATTTTACACTCTAGGGCACAGTCACACTATTTCAACAAGTAATTCGAAAAGAATTTTTATTACCTGGGGGTGCTCCCCCTAGTCTCTGCTGGATCATTTCTAAATGGTGAATATATTCTGTCAAGGAGCGTTCTGGATCCTGAGAAGCAGTCAGGGATCTCTCTAATCTTGAACTTGAGGATGGAGTGCATCTTCAAACAAACCATCACATCAAGGGAAAAAAAGAAAACAGAGCTGAATCTGACAGCACTATGGTGAGTTAGCAGGCAGAACATGGGATATGCATCACCTCTAGGGTTCTTTACTTCACATGCTTTCTTACCACAAAGAGAAAGAAAAGCTTTTTAGAAAGTGCTGCACAGCTAGGCGTGGTGGCACACACCTGAAACCCCAGCACTCAGGAGGGTGAGGCAGCAGTTCGAGTTCAAAGCTAGCCTGAGTTACATCACATCTCACAGTTATGACACCTAGAAACTATTGTATGGTGTTGCATTCACTAAATTTTCAATTATTTTCCCCTTCACGCAAACTGGATAATGCTCCAGCATCCCTCACTCCACAACTGATCCTTGAACAGGGTCTGCTGGCTCTTTCCTGGGGCAAAGCTCTTCACTGTCCAGTTTTCACCTGGCTGTCTTTCCTCCCACTCTCCTGGTGACCTCATTTTCTTCTTTATCTTTGAAGTTCGGCAAATGGAAGAGCCCTCCACAGAGAACCATACCTGCCAGCCCATAGGTGCACCATGTGAGCCCTGCTTTGCTCTGGGATGTGTCAAAGCCAGAACTGCTGAAGACCCACGTGCTGTTGGGAGACAGCAGCAAAGATGAAGCAGCCGGTTTGCATCTCACCTCTCTCTCTCACTGGGAAGGTGGTGGGTAGAGTCCCTTGTGTGGTGGGAAGGTCCGTCCCGGGTTGGTGGGGATTCTCTGGCACCAAGTGGAGATGGCTGCTTCCATGGTACTCGGGGTCCTTCCCCCAGCATTATGTAACAACCAAAGGAACAGGAAAAGGAATTCAAATTCATAAGTTACTAGGAGTCTAAACGACAGTTTCAAAATATAAACTATCCACATTCTATTTTGAGGTTTTATTTATTTTTTTGGTGAGGGTGTTTTTTGTTTTCAGATAAGATTTTACTACATAGCCCAGACTGGCCTCAAACTCCTAATCCTCCTTGCCTTGGCCTCCTACATGGTGGGATAGTAGGCATGTGCCACCAAGCCTGGCTTATATTTTTAAAAGCTTTAGAGCAATCGAGTTTGATTACCTATATTTTACTCTCACAGAGCAGTGTTCAATGCACAGTGTCAGCAGGGCAGTTCATGCTGGGAAGCCCTGCAGGGTTATGCGTAAAGTGTGAGGGCTGTCCCACCTCTACCAGCTCAGAGGGGCTCAGGAGAAAGGAGGGGCAGAAGTCCTGGAAAGGACCAGCTATGGCCCGCAGGGGTCAAATCTTCTTGATGGCCTAAGTGACAGAACCACCAACCAGGATGACCTCGGTACCATGGCTGTCAGAAGTGACTCGGGCAGCACAGGGTTCATGGCTTGCTCTGTGTCCTCGTGCTGAGAAAGTACACGTCTCATGTCTGCCACCCTAAAGCCCAGGACAAGCGCCAAGCAGAATACCCTACCTCCTAATCAACCCCTCCTCTGTTGGCATGGCTGCTCTCTGGAAGTAGGATGGTGGCAGCAGAATGTCAGAGACAAGATAAAGTTGACCAAAACTGAACAACAGTGCTCTGAAAGGGGGTCTGTGCTGCATGGAGCATAACCACAGAGAGTAAGAAGACTACTCTACTATATGCCAGCCCATGAAGGCTCAGCATATTCAAGCTGCTTTGACTTCTGAACCACTCTGAGTTCACATGTGTCTGACAGCTGCCTGTCCTCCTCTGACCTCTGACAACTGCACTGACGGAATTTACCAATTTTCCTATTGTTGCTTTATTGCATTCTCACTGAGAAATGGCCAAAACACTGATGAAAATGATACAGGTAGCAGGAAGAAAAGCTTGAAAGTCACAATGAATGGCAGTTGAGTCCCACCTGGGTGGGGGGCTTTGCCTTGCAGCAGTGGGGTTCCTCTCTGATCTACTTCTTGCCACTTCTTAACCAAAAAACGTAACCTACAAATAAAAGACATTTAAAACCTGAGCAAAACAGTAATGAACAGAGTAACACAAATCCCAGTGCAACCAACTACTGAGCTGGACTGCATTGACGACAGATGAGCCATGCTCACCAGGTACTGAGTGGGGCCATGTGGAAAGCTGCCTGTGGTGCAGCAACCTTCCCATGCCAAGGCTACGACCCTGACAAAGCCATATACCACTTTGGCTCCCCTATGATCCCAACAAAGCCTGGTTCAGGTCTGTCAGACTCTAGTGCATGATCATGTGCAACACCAGTGACCAGGGACAACATATTGGCTCCATCTGGCCCCAAGCCCTTATGGATGGTCAAGACACCTTCCTAGCACAGCTCTCCAAACAGCAGAAGGCCAGCAGCTCCTTCCTCATAGTGCAAACAGGACTGCATATTACTCCACCCATCACAGGAATACAGGTCACTATTCAAGTACAGCTGCATGTGGGTATGGCCACCATCTCCCATCCAGCAACCAAAGCACTTCCTGAAAAGGGACATCCTCTCCCCAGGTCAGATAGGTAGAAGGGTGCATACACAATAGACAACTGTAGTGGGCAGAACTCAGAGGGGTACGGACCTCTTCTCCCCTGCTACTGTTCTACACTCCAGATGGGCCCAGCCTGGTCTGGGAAGATGCCTCTGCAGGCATCAGGGAGCAGAAACAGCTGCTTAGTCCTTAGTGGAGCAAATGTTTTAGAAATTTAAAAATTACAAAATGAAGTTTCAACACTGTTACTTTTGAAATGATCAAAATTCCCAGTAGTATCGAGTCACATTCCTGTTCCAGAGGAGATTCCTGTGCAAAAGTCCAAGCAAGTGTGAACAATGCCTTCCAAAGGGGCCAAGGAAGATGAGGTGGGCAGACAGGGCTTGGGTCACTAGGCGCTCAGGGACCAGTCAGGTCCCCAGAGTGTATACAGGCACAAACCTGGCTGTAAGCACAGGGAGCCACGTACTATACTTATGCATCCAGTCTCCTTGTTTGTGATACAGCTCTGACAAAAAAACTAAAAACTGAAATGTTCAAAATAAAATACAGTTTTAAATGTTATTAGACATGCCTATTGGAAGAAAGAATCCTGTGGAGAGGTGAAATAATCCCTTCTGTAATAAAAGGGCACTCTTAGTCTACAAGTGACAATTACACACAATATTTCTTGAAGACAAGTATCATCTGTCTTTTGAGGCTTTAAGCATCCTTCAACTTGTTTAGGTGCTTTATTTCTTGAAACTTTACAATGTTGTCTCTCAAGCTGAAGGATTAAAGTTTCAAGGAATAAAGCCCCCAAAATACCAAGAGCATGTGCTGTCCATTAGGGTGTTTGGGCGGCATTTACCTTAATACTGCGATGACCACCCTGACAGCAGTGCGGAATCTTGTGAAAGGACGAGATGTGGAGATTTTCTTATCTGCTTTAGAAGGAAATACCCCCAAATGAGCAATCATGGAGAGCGTTTCTTGTTCAGAATCTTGGAATCCACCAATCAACAGTAACAGGTACTTCTTCTGATAAATCAGAGCTTTTCTAAAACTCTCTGCTCTCAAATAATGAAGATACAGTTTTTCCATCTAAAAAAAAAAATAAGAATCACAGAAAAGATATCTTGGTGACACACTCTGCAAACCCAGTTCTACTCCTGGATTTTACAAAGTACCAGATGGGTGCCCACTGTAGCATTTCAGACAGAGGCCAGCTCTAAGCAATACCTACAGCCAGCAACCTCTGTGGCACCAATTGTCCTACCTTGTGCTTATTGCTACTCACCAGGATTCATCATATGGAGCCCAGGGAAGGATTTGGGAATTCCCACCCAAGGAAGGCCCAGTGTGGGCAGGGATAGGGCTCTCATCATGAGTTTAGTGGCTGACACAGGAAGAGACAACTGTGTGAAGCCAGTTAACTCATACAAGCATCAGTGGCCGAACCCTGTTGATCAGTTTTTCTCTACTAGGCTCCTGGTTTGAGTTACACTCAAAAGCCATGTCAATGGCAGGTTTCTTAGTGGCAACGGGAGGCTTCTTGGTGGCAGATAGTCACTGCTTAAAAGTACAGTGTCTGCATACCACCAAACCAAGTTTCAGTTGGAAATTTCTAACTTCCTGTCTTTGTAGGGACCTCACTGCTAAACCAGTATCAGAGGCACATGCTGGGTCTGTGCTGGCTGCTACACCCAGCCAATGAGCACCTTACAGTCAGGAAAATGCTTTTGCCTATAATGAACCAATTCAGAATTTAAAAAGCAGCACCAACACTTTGTATCCCCAATAGGGCTTACTTTGATGCTGTAGGTGTTTTCTTTCTCCCTTGCAGTCAGTGTGGACTGTCCAGAGTCTGAGTTTCGAGGCAAACTCTGTGAAACGGTTCCATCTTGCCTCCATGCAGATCTGCCCGACCTCTGTAACGAACACAGGCAGCACTATCTACAGAGCTGTTTAAGAAGGAAGGTCTCAAGAAATGTGTCTCAGAGTAGCAGAGAAAGCCAGGAGGCCACCACCCAGCCTGACAGGGATCAGGATCCTGGTTTCTTGAACAATGCTCCTAGGACTTTTGGGAGGGGCCTGCCATGAGGCTGGGGCAGGGTGGGCTGGCAGTATTTGCAGGGACCAGCACACATATCCCAGACACCAGGGTCACACTGAGGCTACACTAATGCAGGTGAGCACCATGCATGTGTCCTTCCTCACCATCAGTGCCTCTTCAGTGGTGCCAGGACGTGTGATGTTATCAGATAGTTAACGTTTACATGGTAATTAGTGCCCACCATTTACTGAACTAGAAAGGTATACTTTTAGCAAAATCAAACAAAAAGACACCTGAACATCTGTCAATAACCCAAATTCAGAGCTCTAAGCTTTAAACTCCCTTACATGGTCCTGAGAATGCTAGCTCTGGCAAATGCACAGTCTGCTGCAATGCCTCACTCACACACACAAAAGCTGAGCATGACCAGAGCCACCCAACATCCAGAGGGTCTCCAATGCACAAGGGAAGATGGGCCTGTGGGGACAGAAAAAGTGGCCCCATGCCCACTGCTCACAACCCGCTCCTCCCACCACAGCCTGTGGTCAGTGACTTGCATCTAGCCTCTGGAACCAGCGTCCAGCGTTGGTAGAGCCAGGACTGCCTCCAAGGAAGGGTGGGCAATGCCTGTGACCCCGGGCAGCCCTAAGTAGGCAGACAAACAGACTTATTTAACTCAGTGAGGCCTCATATTTCTTGGAAGAACCAAGCTGGCAACTTGAATCATCTTAAACATAAAAGAGAAGGTATTCCAGCTCTCTCTCAGACAACCTCCCATCTGTTCACTGAAAACACCCAGCTGGGCATGATGGCTCATGCCAGTGACCCTAGTTATTTGAAAGGCTGAGGCAAGAGGATCACAAGTTCAAAGACTAGCCTGAAAATCTGTGGATAAATCTAGAGGAATATTTAGTGACAAGAAATTACATGTGAAAGTACAAGTATTAAATTAAGCTTCAATTTTAACAAGCTACAAAAGAGGAACAAACCCAAAGTAAGAGGGGTTAAGGCAATAAAAAATTACTGTCATGCCTGAAGTAGCCACGAGAAACTCCGCCCACTTAGCTATGCCTCTCTGTACGTACTAACAAAAAGATGAGAGTGAGCGTGAGGCCTGACCTGAGAAAGACCTTCCCCAAAACATGCCACCCTCTGAAAACGAGAACTCATTAAAAGGACCTTGCTGTTCTCAGCAATATTATCTGCACACCTGTGCTGACCATCCTTGGAGCCCTGACGCCACACATTCTACCCAGATTCCTCGAGATTAGAAACTCCACCCCTGAACCTTGTATCAGTTGATCCTCCCCTCCAGATCACTTACTGACATCGCTCTGATTTCAGCCTGCCTATACCTAGACAGAATTAAATCCAGCGTTTTCCTCACTTGAGTCTGTCTCCGGTTTTTCCTTGTTCAACACCTTTACCCTTGGTGCTTGAAACCTGGGATGGAGGGGTCTCTCTCTCTACATAGTCTTCTATCTTACCTCAAGCCTTTTCCCACCAAGACCACATCAGTGACATAGGTTCCCTAGGCCTTGTTCTAGTGCTCCAGACAGCTTCTCAGCTCCTGCCACACTGACCACTTCTGAACTGGTAAGCTCTGCCTCTGCTCTTCAAGCTCTTAACATTCTCTGCATCTTTAAGCCCCCACTGCTGCTGCCACCTGCAGCTCCCTAGCCCTGCACCTTTAACCCTTTCTGGCTTTTAAGATCTTCACCTTTTCATTACCGATACTGTTCCCTACTTCTGTTCTCTCTCCTCCTTTTTTAAGAGACACACTAAGTGGGAGAGCAAGGGGGAACAGAAGGAGAAAGGTTCCCTTCCCCATGGAGAACAGAAAGAAGTAACTGTCATACCTGGCATGGCAAAACAAGCAGCAGCAGGATCCCAGTGGATATCTCTAGTTGGGATTCAAGGGCATAATAGAGAGTGGATAAGTGATCAAGACCAACGTCACTGGAATTGATTGATCCCCAAGCGAAGCCAGTCTCACTGGGAATTGTCCGTGACCAGCACTAAGTTTACAGACCCAGAAAACTGGGCAAGCCTCTTTTCATCCCAGGGCAGGAGGAGGAGGGAATGAAGGAAGTATGTGAAGCAGCAGGATAGGCAGGGGCAGAGCATTCAGGCATCTTCTGGAATTTGGGTCAGCCTGAAGGAAGTAGGGGATATTACTCATGATTTCCACAAGAGGGGATCAGGCGAGCAACCAGCAGAACACGGTTTTATTTGGGAGTGATGAACCCACTGGAGAAGCTCTTGTAGGTGAATAGCCATTGAAGTTCTGTAGATGACCAGGAAGGACAGGTGTCAAGAAAAACAGGAGAGAATTAGCAACATGCCATGCCTCTTTTTGGGACTATGGCAGAACTGGGAAATAGTTTCTGGTAGGTGAAAGAGTTTTTGGCGCAATAAAAGAGAGTGAATATAAAGTACTGCACGTATTAGCTTTCACTGTAGGAAACCCTCAAGCTGCTCAATGGCCATCTACTCCACGGTCTTCTCCACCTCAGTCTCTGTGACCACTTCGAGAGCAGGCTGGCCCTAAGGGACTTGTTAATATACATGTGCCTTTCTCCCTTTCTGACTTATCTCAGATTAGCCATAAATTAGGTTGCTTCTCTTTGACCCACAGAATTATATCAAATAATTTGAGTTTATAACTAATTGTTATGATTTACATTTTAAGGATACTTACGTGATTCTGAACTCCACCCTGAGCTCACAAGAGTGAACTCAGCTGTGGCAGGCAGCTCAAGAAGAAGCTGATCGCAGACATAAAGCAAATACCACTGAAAATAACCCTGGACCTACTGCGGGGCCAGAACAAGAACCTAACTGGAGTTACCAAAATGGAGGTTAAAAAAAAAAATGCATAAGATGACTGAATGTCTAATTGTGGGCCTTAATAATATTGCTCACCAACATACTAACTATAACAAACTTTTAGAACAGGTCCATTAGGCTAATGAAAACTCAGCTGTGTTCCTAAATTGGCTCAGGGACACCTTAATTAAGTTTACTAATGTAAACCCAGACTCTCCTGAAAGGATGATTGTTGTTAACTCTTACTTTATTTCTCAGTCTGCTTCTGATATTTGTGCAAAGTTACAAAAGGTTGAAAATGGCCCTCAAACCCCACAAGAAGACCTTCTTAATTAGCCTTCTGTGTCTTCAAGATCAGAGATAAAACTCAAAAAGAGGAAAAAGAGGCTCAAAAGAAAAAAGTTGCTAAATATCAATCTGATCTCTTAGCAATGGCACTTAGGGTTCCCAAACAGGAAAGCCAAAACAAGGCGAAGCTGCCTGAGCCCCTCCTGGACCATGCTTCAAATGCAGCAAAGAAGGACATTGGGCAAGAGAGTGCCACAATCCTGGCGTTCCTTTGGGGCCCTGTCCCTACTGCAACGTTAAGGACCACTGGAAGAGTGAATGTTCTAACAGCCAGCAAGCCCTCACAGGAGACTCAATCACTGCCAGATTCATCATTGACTGATCTGCTCGGACTTGCTGCTGAAGATTGATAGGGCTCGAGGCCCACAGCCCCCACTAAGGCATCCTTCTCAGAGCCCCGAGTCTCACTGGAGGTCTCAGGTAAGACACTATCTGTACTTGTGGACACCGGGGTGACTTATAGTATACTTCCTGAGTTTTCAGGTCCTTGTATTAAGTCCTCAGTCTCTGTTGTGGGCATTGATGGCCAGCCTACACAGCCTTTGCAGACTGGGCCTCTCTCATGCAGATTCCAGACTTTTCTTTACCTATAGCTTCCTAGTAATTCCAACATGCCCCACACCCCATTTAGGTAGAGACCTCCTTAAAAGCTTAACTTCTCCTTTACCTTCTCCCTCCCCACAGCTCTAATCCTCCATACAGCCTCAAAATGCTTTGCGAAGTCATCCCCTTCCCTTCCTTCTTTCTCTGGTTGATCCCATAGTTTGGGATACCTCCAATCCCACCCTCGCTACTCATGCCATGCCTATTTTAATCCATCTCAGGGATCCTTCAATTTTTCCTTGTGTTCCTCAATATCCCATAGTTCCTAAACATTTACAGGGACTAAAACCTATAATTAAGCGCCTTTTAGACAATGGTTTTCTTAAACCTACCCATTCACCCTACAATACTCCCATTCTCCCAGTACTCAAGCCTGATGGGTCCTATTGCCTGGTACAGGGCCTTAGGGTAATCAATAGTGCTGTTATCCAACCCATCCAGTGGTGCCAAACCCTTATACCATGCTTTCTCATATCCCTCCACCACCACTCATTTTACGTTTGTAGATCTTAAAAATGCCTTTTTTTTTTTACCATCCCCCTACACCGATTGTCAGGACCTCTTTGCATTTACATGGAGTGACCCAGACACTCTCAGGTCTCAACAACTTACTTGAACAGTGCTCCCCCAAGGATTCAGAGATAGTCCCCACTTCTTAAGCCAAGATCTCGCTACTGACCTCACAGAACTTGATCTCAAACCTAGAATCCTTCTTCAGCACATAGATGACCTTCTATTATGTTCTCCATCCCATATGTTAGCCATACAGCATTCAGCCAGTCTCCTTAATTTTCTTGCTAGTCGTGGATACAGCGTCTCTCCTGTTAAAGCCCAGATAGCTTCCCCAAAAGTTAAAAATCTAGGTCTCTCTCTCACCCCCACTACTCGTTCAATCACCACAGATCATAAGGCTATTCGAGATCTCCAGATGTGCACAACTAAACAACAGGTTACATCTTTCCTAGGTTTAGCTAATTTCTTTTGTCTCTGAATTCCTAACTTTGCAGCCCTAGCTCAACCCCTCTACAAGGCCCCTAAGGGTCCCTTATTAGAACCCCTAGACCCCACTACACCTATACATGCCTCCTTTCATAA